TATCTGGCCCAAAAGATCCAATGTCTGATCACTTTCATATTTTTAATATAAATATCCTCAGGCTATTTCCCTGAGGCAGGGAAATACTGTTATTCCCATTTTGAGTGAAAGAAGAGGGGGGTTAAGTGACTTGCCTAAACTGATACAGGCAGCGTGTGGCAGAAAGAGGTACTGAATCCTTGGCCAACACCAAGCCATCTTTCTGAGCTTTTAGAGACAACAGCTATATCCAGCCCCCTTTATTTATTTCTCTAGAAGCCATCATGCCAAAACCTTTGCTAAATTAGAGAGTGAGACTGAAGGAAAGCTTTCAGTGGATTGCTTTTTTCCATAAATGGAAATATCACAAATCATTCTGGGAAAACAGGTCTTTCTGTTCTCGTCTCTCTTTGTCTGCTTCTCTCCTTTTGGATGTCTTTTCCTCTGCCTCCGGCTCCCAGTTTTCAGATGTACAGTCCTGACCATTTAAAAGTGTTCCTACCCCGCAGGAAGGGAGTAGCTTTTCATTCTTTGGAACTTACTATTTTGCAATGGATTGCACTCTGCAGGCAAGCGAGACTTCTGAAAGAGACAGGGCTGCACAAAGCAGCACAAAAATAAACCGTATCACCAACAATACTGAGCCAGGTTCTCATCGGGGGTAACTCAGTCTGACTCTTGCTGCAGCAGAGCTGACGGCTGCCAGCTGTCCTGGATAGACAGCATGTACCCGAACGATGACCCGGCCGCGTTGGAGGAGGTCTCTCTGAGGGCTGAACGTGCAGTTAACGTTTATTTCCATGCATCTTAGACATTCAGTCCCTCTTGGCAGTATGGCAGGTTGTCTCTGCCCTTAATGCCCCAGCTGGGCAGCCTCTGTCCTGGTCCAGGCACTGGGGTGGTGCCTGTTGCACCAGTCCTAGCTCCTCCAGACTGCATCTTCCAAAGCTTGGGCAGGCAACAAGCAAACGGTGGGGATCTCATCTAAGGACTCCCAGTAATACCCAAAGGACTCAGGGGCTGCTCTGTGATTTTCCACAGACCTGGGCGTCCCCAGCCTTTCTGTCCTGACACAAGTCAGAGCTCCTCCCTGCCTCCTTCGCAGCCTGCACATGCCACAGCAGGCTGCTCGAAGGATGCCCACACCAATATGCCAGGGAGAGGGAGGTGGCTGCGATGAATGAGAGGGACTGAGAAACAGGAGGAAGATCTGGCGGGTGAGCACGAGAAAGAGGATGAGAGGAGAGCCCGAACTGCACTGGGAGAGCTGCAGGGAGGACGTGGAAGCGTGTGGCTTAAGTTTCTCAGAGAGGTGTGCAGGAGAAGCCAAAGAGCTCAACACCTGCCTGTTTCAGGGTTCGTAGCATGAAATAGCTCAAGATGGGAAGAATGGGAAGGGCAAAGGGACACAAGTACAGAGACATTGCTCTTACTCCCTTGAGGGGCTCCCAGAGCCCTACACGCCCTCCCAAATAATGATTTGCTCTTGCTCAGGCATTCAGGAGTATTAACTATAGGGTGGCACATGGCTCTTCCCTCCCTGGCTCTGCAAACCGCATGTGCAGCACGGGAAAAGGCTGTTGTGTCAGACCTCAGCAGCGCTGCTGAGCTGCTCCATCCCCCTCCCCGCGTGTGGCCACGGCGCTTCCACCAGCACAGGTGCCAGGGAGGCTGCTGCACCGTCTCAGCAGGCCACAGATGTCCGTCAGAGAATTGCCGAGTGAGTGACCTTGGCGTAAGAAGTGACATCGAGGCCTTCCCTGCACCAAGCAGGTTTCTGAACCGCCGCCATCCATCGCTCACCTACTCCATGCGCTTGCACAGCCGCTGGCACCAGCGCACCCACACCATGCCCTCTTTAACATGTCCACGTACGGCACGAGGCAGAGGGGTGCTGTCACCCCCATTTCACAGGGTGGGACTCTAAGGCAAAGAGAAGACGTGGTTTTAACAGCATGCCTGTGGCAGAGCAAAAACTGAATCTTGTTCTCTTATATTCCCAGTTAGCGCATTAATGACCTAAATTCTGCATCCTTTCCCCATCCATCGCCCAGAGGAGCTAGGAGGCATCGGAGGAGAGGGTGTGGTAGCACAGGCAAATCGTCAGCATCCAGAGTCACGGCGCTCTGTGCTGAGCACAGACAAAGCAGGGGCTAAAGTGGGACCAACGCTGCCCACCCTGCCCTCATGAACCCCAGCAGGCTTGAGCCAGGGAGGGGGATCAGCCTGGTGCAGCATATCAGCCTGCGGTGAAGGGCAGCTCCTCAATGCCACAGCATTTTAAGCAAGCCAAGGCTGGACACCCCAGTGGCCAAGCACCCTGCTGAGCCAGATCAGCAAGGCCTTTTGGACACTCAGCACCAGGAGCAGATTTTCAAAGAGTCTGCATGTCCCCTCACCCTGCCTAAGCGGCTGAACCTCTAACTAGCTATCCCACACAAATCCATATAGAAGACATCCTGCACAAGATGCAGCATCTTTCCCAAGCAGCTTGATTCTTCACATAGGAATTAATCAGGCTCAAACACAGCAGGAAACAGAGCTGGGGAGAGGGAGAAGAGAGGAAGCAGGGAAAGGATGGCACAGAGTGAGGTGGTTTCCAGATGCACTGCCTCTTCCCTCCCTGGCTGATTCCAACTGGGGGGGCGCTGGCTGTGCACCAGGAGCCTCGCCTGGGAGGTGCACGCAGGCTCTGCCTGCTCCCCCAGCGTGTACGGGCAGGAGGCACCCAGCGTTCAGGATCTGCTGAGCAAGGAGCTGAAATCTGAGGCTGGAGACTTCCCTGGTGCCCCGGAGAGTGGCAGTGTTCACGTGCACTGTACAGCAGTGACTGCAGCCAAAGGACCAGGGTGATGAGCTGCTCGTCTGTCGCAGGCAGATGGCCCCAGGCAGTCAGGGGCAAGCAAGGGAAAGGACCCCCTTCATGCTATATCTGCCTTCCTCACAGGTATTTAAGTGGGCAAGTAGCAGGGTGGGAGTGTGGCAAGGGAATTTGCTTGGCTATGAAGCTTTCCTTCCAGAAGAGCCATGGCTGAGAAGCAGACACTTCTTGAATGAGGTAACTGGATTGGGGATGGGTGATTAATAACCTCCTTTTATAACCCACAGTTTCAATGTGGGAATAACACTTCAGAGGTACATGGAGAGGCTTTGTTCCTACTTTCTTCTCCTATTACTTACCTCTTACATGCACATGCAGCAGACACTCTTTGCTGTCTCTAGCCTCTTCATGGAAGCTCTTTGAACGAGTAATTAAAGGCAGTAGGTATCTCAGAAGCATCAGACACAAGCCAACTGGATTCAGAAGGAGCCGAGCTTGGGGGCTGACCTAGAGGAACCCACCTACCTGCCTTCTACAGCTATTTGATCAGCACTGCGTCCCAAAGCATCCCAAACCTTGCTCCAGCAAGGCTTGGCCTTCCCCCCTTCCTTCCTCCAGGGGCAATCCTTTGAGCTTGGTCCTTCTTCCAGTTATTCCCAAATACCTGAGAGATCATTGGAATTCATCTGGAATAAACCTTCCAAGACATGACTCAGGGACCTGACATGGTCCTTGCAGGTGTCAGCCTGGGTAGGGTTGGCCTGGAAGAGCTCTGGGTTCCTCACAAGCAGCCCTTCCCAGAGGCAACAACCACAAGTGTGGTGGCTTCATTGTCCCCTCATCCTGCACACCCAGCTGGACCAGCGGCTGGGCTCAGGGCCAGAGTGGCAGGCGGCTTTCCCAGGTTGCCACAGCATTTGTCACTCTCCAGACTCGGGCTCCAAACTCTTCTGCTGAGGGCTCAGTCAGCCTGAGCCACTTTGGTGGCTGACCTCTGGTGAGAGGGCCCATGGGATCACCATGCCTATCCACGCACCTCATGCGGACACTGCATTCCTCCTTTCTAGATAGATTATGTCCATCAGTTCTGTGTTAATGGCCAGCCAGTGCAAGTGTCCAGAGGGAAATGTAAGGGAAGGCGGGAGAAAAAGTTTGGGGGAACCCCAGGAGGTATAATGAAATTGCCTTCCACATGGTCACCCCTGTACCAGCATGAGCAACCTGATCCTTTGAGATACTAGTCAACCAGTGGTCATGATGATGACGTGGTTTAAGGATTACGTCTCTGGAGTAGTATTCCTGATTTCAAGAGAGAGACATGAATGACAAAAATAAGAGCCTGGTAGACATCCCAGATGACAAAAGACTGGGAAGATGTCATTGGCCTCCTGCTGGGATGGCTTTGCTGGTCGTGGAGTGTGTGAAAAAGGGTGCCTCAAGACTAAAGCTAGCAGAAGGCCCTGTACGTAAACCAGCCTGATGAAACTGAGGGTGACCAGCCCAGCTTCCCTCACTTATGGCGGAAGATTTTCCTCCCCCAGTGCAAAGGGTGTTTTGCTGCTGAGCTGCATACACACACTTGCACCAAGCTTCTTGTAGCCTTAGTCTGTGAGAGGACAGAAGAGGAGGCCTGATAAAGGTACGCAAAAACAAGCAGTCACACGGAGAAAGTAGATTAAGAGCTTCTGTTCTTCTCGTACCGCACCAAAACAACAGGATGTATCCTGCCCATGAAATGAATAGGCAGCAAATTCACAGCTGAGAGAAACAAACGCTTTTCCACCCAAACCTGATCATCCCGCCATACACAGCACACTTTGCAGCATGACCCAGTCTCTGGCTCCTCTACCCATCCCACCTCCCGCAGTGGCGGGCAGTGCTCTCCTGTCCGTCTGCAGCAGGAGTCATACCTGCCAGCCAAAGCCTCTGGTGCTCTCCACCGTTGAGCAAGGGGCGCTGGGCTAGGTGGGCGTCAGGCTGGATCCAGGCGGTGAATCCCATGTTCCTGTGCAAATAAGAGGGAGATACGTGTGCGAGTGTGCGAGAAGAGTACCTGGGCATTTAACGGGCATCCATACACGAGCGGGCGTGCTGCCTGGGAGGAAGGCAGGGCGGGCACAAAGGGCGATGCAGAGGGTAGCTTTTCCTGCGAGGCAGGTTTCAGTGTTCTCATTTGTTCTTTTTTTCTCTTGTTCCCTAGGGAATTTTAAAGGTCTGTGTAAGCAAATTGATCACTTCCCTGAGGATGCAGATTATGAAGCCGATACAGCAGAATATTTCCTCCGTAAGTCTGCAGGCTCTTCTCCTTGCAATGGCTCGTAGGTGCTAGCGTCGGGTGCCTTTTGCTTTCTGAAGGTAGGGTGGTGGAGATGCTGGGACCTGTGAAGCTCAGCAGGCCAGAGGAGGCAACCCCAGAGCCTCACCACTCCCCAAAAATGGCTCCGCTCTAACCGCCCTGGGGCCCTGCCCATGAGACAGTGCAAGTTTCGAACTCATAGTAACAACCAGTGGCATTTTTTAATAACAGCAATTAATTACAATATAAATCCAGAGCCTTAATTCAAATCTATTGGAGAGCTGCTGAGTAGGCATAAAGTCAGGACTGGGCTAGCTGGAGCAGTGTGAGCGTCTGTGAGTGTGTGTGTGTGTCCTCCTAAAGCAGAGGATGTTTATATTTCCTTACCTGATACTCCAGTTGCACCAGATTTAAGAAATTAGCTGGATTGTGTCCGAGGAGCACCTATTTCTGTCTTCACCTTTCCCCAAACACCACTTGCCTACAGAGGCTGCAGATCTGATCCTTGATGTTTTTAGTGATTTTAGTGATGGGAACAGGAAGCAGGAGTAAGGACAGTCAGAGCCCTTTGAAGAAAAGACCTAGTGCTCACCCAGAGCGCCCTGGAAGAGGTGCCGTACCCCAGGCACATGGCATCTCCATAAAGAAACCTAACCTGAGCTCTGAGTCCAGCCTGGGACGTGTGGGTGAAGCTCGCACCGCTTTGCACATGGGGACAGGGAAGGCAGCCTGGCCAGCAGGGCAGATCCACATCATGTGTTGCCCTCCCTGATCACAAGTCAGCATTTCCACCTGCCCCAGAAGCAGGAGCTTGCTCTTCCGTTAGTACAGATGAACAGGGATCACTCCTTCTCTTAGGTCCCCACCTTGCTACCCTGCCCTCCCTCCACAAGCCCAACACCTTTCGACATCACGAGAAGAGATCTTCTCTCTTCAGAAATCTGAGATAAGAGCTTTTGACCTCCCAAGGTTAAGCATCAGAGGTCTCCAAAGGCCGGGAGTCTTTCAGAATAGCTCCTTGTCATCCGGGTGTGCTCCAAGCCAGATGTGGAGACCCAGCCCTGCGGCAGAGATGAGAGAGATAATTTAGGCTCTGTGAGGCTCATTTGTATGTGAAAAGAGGTGGATCTTATGCTGCTGCCTCTTGGTTTCTCAAACAGTTCTTCATCCACTGTAAATTGTAAATAACCCAGGGAGATTGCTCCTTTCAGATGCCTTTCTGCAGCATCAGTCCCTTAATCGCTGCGTGGCTCCTGAACGGCAGAGCTGAAGACTGGGGTTTGATCTGGTTTGGCACAGCAACGGTGCAGGCTGCCTCTGAGGGCAAACCAGCTCTTGTAGAGTTGTTTGGGAGCACGGAAGCTGCTTGCAGCATCAGCTGTGCTTCAGAAAGAAGAGTTGGGGGAAGGGGGCGAACATCTCAAGAAGGATGGGTCTGTTCCCTCAGAGGGAACAAGATCTGAAGACAAAAATTGGCCCAATATCAGGATCTGACGGTGTCCCTAGGGTAGAGCCCTTTTTAAGAAAGAACCAGGTTCAAAGAGGGATTTGGCAAGTCAATAAAGGACTACTTGGGTCAATCCTGAGGGAAGTGGGATTTCTGTTGGCTTAGACCTGACTGTAGAGGGACCCCACTGAACAGCTTCTTCCCAGGACTTCTGCCAAACCAGAGCCCCTGGGCACTCTGCATGGGCAATGCCTGGCGGTACTGGCAAGAACAGCTAGGAAATGGTTTATTAGTATTAGACTAGGCGATTCCCTCATTCAGGGGACCAGGACAATTGTGGGGCAGTGCCCATAGCCTGGCTAGAAGGGCTCAGACTTTATTTCTGCCAGACATCCACATAAGGTTTCTTAGGCTTTTTGAAATCAAATGCCTGTTGTCAGAGAGGAAGCAGAAGCATCCCTGTGTTTCTTTGCTAGAGGACACTCGAGTTAGAGAGTAGACATGATACAAGGGAGCATCCGAACACCATCATGAGTCCCCTTCTCTTTAGACCAAAGGCTCTGGACCCAGAAAGACTGGATGAGATTCTGTCCTTCTCTTGCTGGCATGGTCCTCCTGAGGGGCAGAAAGCAGGGGCTGAGCGAGGCTGCTGTCCTCCCCCATCACATAACGCCCGCAGCTCCCCATGTCAGCCGGCAACTTTGTGTTCTCCCAACAGACATGAATTTCAGAATTAAGACCCAGATAAAACCGATGTGGTCAGGGCCAGGCTGCAGGACTGACCGAGCACCCCTCTAGAAACCCTCTGAACAGCGGATGCCTGCTTGATGTTTGCTTAATGCCATTTAAGCTTTGTATTGTCAAATCCCGACTTGCTTTCCAGAAGCTATTAAGATGGTTATTATCACTATCCTGTTCCCTGAAACACAGCCAGGCAGAACTGGGAAGCAAGAAAGGTTTCTCCCTGCCTTTTGCATTCCCCATGCACAGGCAGTGGGCTAGGGCCCCCCTCAAAGAGCCAATTGTTTGTGCCTGGTAGGATCCTGATACCAACAGGGTCTTTGAAGCACGGTCTCTGCCTGCTTAGGAAAAAGTCCTGTGCTTGCTTCAGCAGGGTTCATTCTTGCAGGCAAGGAGGGATTAGCTTTCATCCCCCCTTCCAGATCTTTGCTCCACAAGCAGAATTGCACCAGCCTGTCTGATACCTTTCTTTATCAAGCAAGGCTTCATTTCACACTTGAACAGCTTATTTCCTCTTGGGAAGGGAGGAGGGAAGGCCTTCTTAGTTAAAAAATATGAATATTGGCAACACGAACTCAGGCAGACAGTTGGTACCCACTGAACAGCCCACGAGCAGTGTGTGCGTGTGCGTGCATGTGTGCGCAGGTGTGCATGTACACAGTCCTGGCCTTTTGCTGCATGAATACGAGAGTGCCCCCAGAAGCTTTGGGGTATGTTTTGCACGCGCGTATGAGCATATGCGTGCATCTATGCCATTGCCCTCTGCTGGCTGAGCTCTTCCCGTATCGACCGATGGAGAGGGTGCGTGTGTGGGAGCTGGCACATCCAAACACATCACTGCCCTCTGGAAGGAGACCAGTCGTTCAATCCCTAGGATAAGCCCCGTGTTTCAGCGCGCAGGGCTGGGACTTTCACTTCTCAGTCCTCACTGCAGCCGCAGAGCAGTGCATGGCACCAGGAGCTCCTTCCCAGCCCTAAAAAAAAAAAATCTCTCCTTGAGATGCTCAGGTCCTTTCGGGAGGATTCGAGATTGAGCAGCTCCGTGGGAAGCATTTCGGTTGCTGCTCTTTGAAGAGCGGGCTCGAGCGGCAGCGTCCTGCAGGAGGAGAAGCTGGATGGTGGCACTGCTCCCCCTCCAGCCTGTAGTCCCCCCAAAAGCAGAGGAAAAGCCAGCGTGAGGGGGGGCAGGCTCCCAGCTCAGCCACTGGCCCCGCAGCCCCCTCCGCCTCCCTGTGCCGGGCCACCAGCTTTGCAGCAGCACCAGCAGCCAGGGCGCGGGAGAGCTGCTTGGGACCGCTCTCTTTTTCTGACACTCTTTGTTTCTCTCTCCCTCCCTCCGTCCCCCACCGCCTTTATCCCTCCTTGAATTACCTCCCGCCTGCACATTGCCCTCTGTCTCTCCCCTTCACCCCCACCCACAAAACATGCTCGCGTCCCCCCGTCCCCTCGCCCCGGCACCGTTTTCGTGCCCCTTTTTCCTCTCTCTCACACCTGTGCTGTTCTTTCTGCCTCTCTCCCTCTTTCCTCCGCAGGGGCTGTTAGAGCCTCTAGTATTTTCCCGATCCTGAGTGTGATTCTGCTTTTCATGGGTGGACTCTGCATTGCAGCCAGCGAGTTCTACAAAACCCGACACAACATCATCCTTAGTGCCGGCATCTTCTTCGTGTCCGCAGGTAAAGGGATGCACAGGGCCTGACACCCCGGAGATGGGCTTCAGGGGGTGGGGGGGCTGTCCAGCCGGGGCATCCTGCAGGGGCACGGTTGCCTAGGCAGGAGCGCGTTTGTTTCCCAGCCCTGATGAGCCTTATTTGGGGTGAAATCAGCCTCCCAAGGATGCATCTCCGCCCTGCCTGCTCGCCTGGCAGAGGCAGGCAGCAGCACCCTGCAGGCAGGGGCTTTCCTGCTGCTTGGGAGCCGCTGGAGTGAGAGGGTTTCCCTACGTCCGGCACCTCTTAGGGACCAGCCAGGAGTGCAGTCCAGGGATGCAGCAGGCACGTGAGGAGGGTCTTGCCCGGGTTTCCCAAGGGAAGCTGCCAACCGGGAGGGGACGGGTGGTTGGGGGCCCTCCCTTCCCCACCTCCCGGGGGCAGGGGCTTAACCCCACGGCCCCCACCACTGCCTTGTGCGACCCTCCTGACATCTCCCTCTCTCTCCCCCGCCGGCCGGCTGGCAGGTCTGAGTAATATAATTGGCATCATCGTATACATATCAGCCAACGCTGGAGACCCCTCCAAGAGCGACTCCAAGAAGAACAGCTACTCCTACGGCTGGTCCTTCTACTTCGGGGCCCTGTCCTTCATTATAGCCGAGATGGTGGGAGTGCTGGCCGTCCACATGTTCATAGACCGGCACAAACAGCTGCGTGCCAACGCTCGTGCCACGGACTACCTCCAGTCCTCCGCCATCACCCGCATCCCCAGCTACCGGTACCGCTATCAGAGACGCAGCCGCTCCAGCTCCCGCTCCACCGAGCCTTCACACTCCAGGGATGCCTCTCCCGTCGGGATCAAAGGGTTCAACACCCTCCCATCAACAGAGATCTCGATGTACACCCTGACCAGGGAAGCGCTGAAGGCAACCACCACCCCCACCGCCACCTACAACTCCGACAGGGATAACAGTTTCCTCCAGGTTCACAACTGTATCCAGAAAGAGAACAAGGACTCTATCCACACCAACACAGC